GCGACTGCATTGCATGACGCCGTCCCTTGCATATGCACGCTGCAGTCCACCGTCCACTGGGTTTGCATTTTAAAAAGTAAAAAAATGGGGCCAGGCTCTAAATGGCCAGTATCACTATCACCAACACATAAAACAGACGCGTATCATATCACTGGAAAACATTATTATATCACAGTCACAGTCACAGCAACTGCGGTCACTGCATAGTCACTACGCAGTGACTTCATAATCACAATCACTGCTGAGAAAATCCTAACGATCTTACAAAAGGTCGCCCAAGACAGTGAACTGCCCCTTGTACCTGCAGCGGAGCGAGAGAAAGGAAGATAAAGATGACGAAAAAGAACGCGAAAAAGAAATGGAAAACGCGCAAGACATCAAACGCAAGCCGTGATGAGAACGAGGGATGACGAAAAAATGGCGCATGTTGGAGAAAGAGCGAGAAGCCGGGTGTGATGGAGAAGGAAGGGTTGATGTTTTTTTTTGGACAATGCATGAGCTGAAAAGCCTCCTTCTCACCGTATTTTAAATTTTCTTTTTTCACTATTTTCATTTCTCTTTTGGTGTTAACATAAAGACATTAAAAAGGAAAGGAAAAGAAATGGCCGCAGTACTTGGAAAATTCTATTGTCTTATGTCGAGTTTTGTTCTTTTTCCCCTCTCTTATTTCTTCCGTTTGATCACTTCCCATTCTCCCTCGCAATCTTCTTTAGCAACCAACCACCCGCAACACACGGCCTTTTCTGCGCGCAATATAGGTTGCCTCCTACAGCCTCTTTCGACCTTTGATTTCGTGGGTGTATGAGAGGAATGTCAAAGAGGAGTGTGCGGTATTGTTTGATTTTTTTTTTAAAAAAAACCCACAAATCCAAAGTAACGTTAAGCAATGGATCACTGTCGTATACTCATACATGGAAGCGTACTTACCTTGCCGAGTAATACGCGTTTGCCTCGCCTAGTTGCCATCGCCCATTGCCCTTTGTCTCCGGGCCGAGTCTACGAAGGTGGGTCGTATCGACGACTATCTCGCACATGTTTGCATCCTGCGTCGTGTACTTCGTATAGAGTAGCCTGAGTACAACATAGTCTTCACCATCTTTCCTTTGCGAATATCACTGTCTCGACGGGCAGCATTCCGCGCGACCTCCACAGAGGAGAAGAGGGGAAGAGGGGAAGACGAAGACAAGTAAAGGATAAAGAGAAGGAGAGAAAAGAAAAGAAAAAAGAAAATCCTTTCAAAAATGGCGCTACCCCGGAAAATTGTGACGTTGGATGGGGATGCTAATAGAAAGGTGCTAGTGGAGGATGAATTGAACGGCAAAAGACATTGATGGGGGGGAATAGACCCGAATAAGGCCGAGACGACGAGAGACGTTCTGATGTGAGAAGACAACGCAATGAGAGCTTATCTCACTGCACATTACAACGCTCTCCCCGCAGGATACGCCGGGAAAGGCGCCGTTGTCTCCGTGGCTCCGTGGGACGCCAGGAAAAGAAGGTCTCTCATGTCAGCCTGTGAAGATGAGGAGGAGAGGAGGGGAGAGAGGAGAAAATTTTCAAGCGCAGGCAGGCTGGCAGGCAAAAGTAGTGAAAACCGGGGAAAACTATGGGGAACGTTCTGGGAGACTGGGGAATGGCACCGTCTGGATGGAGAACACTGGGGCAGGGTAATATCGTGCGGACGCTTTGTTTAGGCGAACAGGCAAACCGGGAAAGCGTGTCTACTTTCCGGAGTCTGCATTTTGAGATGCCTTTTCTTTTCGTTTCTTCGGCACTCACTATTCCCCCCCTCTTGAGAACTACTCATTATTTCCTTGTGATTCTGCACCATTCTTTCTGATCATCGCTGCGCATATTGCGTCTGTTCTGGGCCCCAGATATGGCGGGGAAAGAAACTAGACGAGTCGGTTGAGAAATCACCAAGGAACGCTAAAAAACAAAAAAACGAGCATTCTCCTCGAACTGGGGAATCCTGGAAGACTTGACATCTCTGGGGAAGGCATACAGCCTCTCTTGATTTAGGGAACACGGATGGTCCCTGCCAAGACCGCATGGACGATGAACAGGTCCGTGGACCAAGCACTAACAATGTTGAGGGCCTTTGGACGAGTTCCGGAGCAATTCCTCTCTGTTGCATGCCGTTTCCTTCGTCGGGATCATGTCTCCAGCCGCGAAACAATTGCCCAACTCAGACCAAAACGGGCGGACAACACAGATGAATACACCATGCTACGCCGTACACAGCTCGGGCCACTTTCTGGCTGGTGTTGATGTTCAGTGTCGAAATGGTAAAGTGCGGGCTGCGAACAGACACTAAACCACGAGAGACAAGAACAAACACGCCAGGCACTTTGCCAGGCATTCGATTCTCACCGGACATTAGTGTGCAGTAGCGCAAGTGGACGGAGTGCAAATTATGCACCTCGCCGTTGACATCGAGTGCCTTGTCTCCAAACACAAAGTCGGGCGTCCTCCAAGCATGTGTCAATGTGGGGAGGGGGATCGACGTCGTCTGTCTTCCAAATCCGTGCTGTTCGCGACGTATCCTGTGTTATCGTCGTACTGGCACAAGCGGCGTCCGGCACCGGTAGAACACTTGCGACTACTTCGTACATGTAGCATGGCGGCGGCGGCCGGTGGGTAATGTCTTGAAGGGCAGTTGCATGCATTGCAGTTGTCTATTGTAGTTGGCGGGAGGTCCGTCGTGAAGTCCGTCGAGTGTTGCACCCTTTCCTGATGCCGATCTGCGTTGAAATGAGGAAGTGATGCGCAGAGACAACGGTCTGCCGCCGGCTGTTGTCTGTCGCCTGTCGCCGTCCAAGCTCGCCCGTTTGCCGTTGCGATCGAGCTGGGGGTCCCATTTCCCTTGCATGTGTCTGCATGTGCAATCCATACGAAGTAGCCATGGAGCAGGGCCATCTGCACGATAAATTTCGACCGTCGTTGGGTGGTGGGCGTTGGATAACGGAAAAGCCGCAAGCCGTTTGAGCTGACCATGTACGACGTAATACTGACCGTATGGTGCTCGTGAACCGTGGACTTTTGGTTTTCGTCGACGTTATCTTTGTCGTTGTTGCTTTCTTTTTCTCATTCCTTTTCTTGGCCTTTCCTGGTGCCCCTATCGCTGCTCACATCTTGTCTTGGACGATATCACGCTCCTGCAGCAGAGAGGCAGACAAGTGTCCCGAAACATCTCGTTGCAGTGGTGTGTTGTGTTGAGCAGATCGCGATCGACGGCCGATGGAAAGAAGACAGGGAGAGAGAGAGAGAGAGACAAAAGGTAACAGATGGGTGGAAATATCGTTCCGGCGACACCACAGCGCTTTTACTACTCCGCAGGCCACGGGGCCTAGTAGAGACGATCGTGCTCGAGGCCGTTGATCTCTTTTGACTTTGTGTGTATTGTCTCACCGTCTCGATGGTTGCTGTGTCCCATGGTCATTGGCCACGTACGTCGTTCGTCGTACGTCGTTCGTCGTTCGTGTTTTGTTTTGTTTTATTTTATTGTTTTCTTTTGTTTGCCATTACCTGCCGTATCATATCCTCTGGGGCGATATGCACATTGCTGGCTGTATCTGTCCGTCTCTTTCATGTGATACATCGCCGTTGAATGTTCCTTTCCTTTTGCTCATTGTTTTGGGGGAGGACTGATGTTGTCTTCGGATAGGACGGCAGTGCTGCTCGCCACAGTGCTGCTCGCCATGTTGTATGCTGGTGTTCTGTGTTTTCTTATCAAACCAAATCCTGACGACAAATACCTAGTCCATTGTTACAGATGACAGCGGTGATTGTAAGATACGAGATGGGACACAAGTAGTGGGAGACTGTGAGATGCCAAGACAATGCAGAGTATTGACTCTTGCTCCACAACCGCTCAATGCAATTGCTTTTTGGTATATGTATGCTCGGATTCTTACATCTTACTCGCATCTAAATCTCCTGATGCTTCGGCTTGTGCTTGAATGTAAATTTTGTGACGTTTGGCCTCGTTCCCTATTGCCTCTGCCGACTTTCCTCGGCATCTTCCTTCACATCTTGTCCCCGACGGGTGTCAACAGGCAGTGGGAAATAGCCGTTCGTCCTGCAAGGGAGGCCAGAAGACATCACAGTGTCCACAAGTAGCAAGCGGGCGACACCTCCAGATGGAGGATGTGATGCTACTCCATATGATGGATGTTGATGTGGTCGACCGCGTCAAACTCAACGGAGACAAGTTAAGACAGAAAGCGGACAAAATACAAAGTTGCTAGTTGACGTTGACAGGCAGAAATGTCTTGCATCGTTCCGTATGTTAGAATGTCTCTGCTTGTCTCGCTTTAGAGGGAGATCTTTTTGTTGCGACGTGGGCATGGCTCGGTGTGTCTGCAGTCTGTCTGCCTTTTTCGACCTTTTCAACCTTTTCATCCCTTGCATCCAAGCCGCCCGGTCGGTCCTGCGCGGCCTGCATTCGGGGCTTCGTCGAGATCTTGTCTGGCGTTCATACTTTGTAAATCCATCTGCAGGTCTCACCTGGCGTCTTCCGCTGACCTGTCGCCTCTGTCGCCTCTCGCTTGTGTCTCACTTTGTCGCTTCCGTCCACGCCCCCCCTCCACCGCCCGCCTCCGCCGCCGCCCTTCGCCGCCGGTGTCGTTCCCACCCCCGCACGCCCTCGCTTCGCTTCGCCTGCCGCGCCGTTAGTTCCCCCGCCCTGTCCGCCCTGTCCGCGCCCGTGGTCTGAGTCGTGTGTCTCGGATTGCGAATTCGTGGTTTGGGTTGGCGTTGGTCACCAATACCAATGGTGCGGCAGAGACGGACCTATGTCGGCCCTCGCTGGCACTGGCTCACCCTTGCCTCTGTGCATGCCTTGATGCATGCCTGTCTCAGTTCTTTTGGACTGCGTTTCAAGTTTTTCGCTTTTTTTTTTGTTTTTGTTGTTTTTGGTTTTCGATGTTTTCGACTTTCGATTTTTGACATTCGATTTTCGACTCTCGCGGCACTCTTTGCGACGAATAGCAGTTGGGTCAGGTTCCTTCCCCTCCCATCGTCGACAACGTGCCGCCATCCTCCTCCCTGCCTCCATCGACAATGCTCCACCATCCGACGATGTGCATCGTGCATGCCGGGGATGCACGCGCGACAGTGCCGTACGCTTGTAGTAGCGGTGCTTCGAAAGACAGGACTGCCGTCCAGGGTTTGCCCGCCAAGTATCGTGCGGCGTGGGAGGGATGCATGGACAAGATGGTCGGCGACTGCACCAGCAACCACGACTGTGGATAGAGGGTTGAAGGCTGAAGGCCGAGGGCCGATGGCCGGTGGTTGATGGCTGCCCTTGCCTTGATCCCGCCGTAGCCTATCCCTCCCATGATGGTTTGCAATGGTTCGCGATGGTTGCGATGGTTGCGATGGTTCTTGTGATGGCTTCCCCATTGGCTCTGTGATCACCATCAACTACTTGCTTTTGCCCCCCGCCACGACGTGGCTCCCTTCCTTGCGTGATTTAGTCGCCATTCATCGATCTGTTTGTTGGCCGACTGCATGATAGCCGTTGCCACTCGTCTCATGAAAACAAGCCGCCGACTAATGGTAAAGAAAGACAGAATGGCCCAAGTTGAAGCTGAATGCCTACGTCGTATGCCAGACAGTGGACCGTGGGTGTTGGATTCGTCAGCTGCCTTCTGCCCATTACCCGCCCCCGAGCCCTCTTTAGTGTACATCCTCCACGTACCCGTGAGACATGCCAGTGCCATGCAAGCTGAAAGGTGAAAGGACCGTACTTTGTGTGCACAGAGAGGGGTCGGTTCCAGATGCATCAGTCGGCCAATGATTAGCGGCCAGGCACATCCAGACGCCCTCCCGTGAGAGCTGCCCGCGAGACCCGATTCCAGACGAGAGGGCCACTTTGGACACAACCCGTCAGGCCAGTACCGAAACTGATGGGCGATGAACCGTGATGTGCATCATGGGGTAGTCAGTGGATATTGAGAAACGGACGGATTTGTACGAGTGTCGCCTGGTCGGCGAGACTCTCTCAGTAAATATAGACGATTGGTAGATAGCAAGGAACAAGAACGCTCGGATAAAACGCAACGAACGCATGGGGCAAGATTTCCAACCGTGTGTCTAATGTTATATCGAGAAATATGTCCAAGAGTATGTCCGAATTGTAGCCAACGTAGTCAACGTAGCCAATGTAGCCAATGTGTGTCCCAAAAAACAGTAAATCAAATGCGACTTTCTCTCCTGGCATTCGTTATTGCTCCAGCCGATCTGCCAGGTCCAGCCAAACGCGGCACCGCGCCGACTGGTCGTCCGGTACCGTCTCCATGGCCTGGTGCCCGCCCGTGTAGACAACGAGTCGCTGGCGCCGGTCGGCGTCGGTGCGCTCCTCGGGACGTCCCCACGGCACCCAGTCGGCAGCGTGTGGGCTCTTGTGCGTGTTGGGATCGAGGCTGCGCACAAATGAAATGAAGTAGTCCATCATGACGGGCACCAAGCCGGGGTTGCCATTTCGGTCCTCCTCCGGCGACGTGGAGCCGTCGTCCGGCCGGAAGTAGCTTGCGGGCGGACAGCAGATGACGTTGCGGGGCCCAAAGACGGCGGCGGCGTCCATCATGTGGACGGTGCCGAGGCCAGCGGCCATGAGGCCGGGGTCCTGCATGGCGTAGCGGTAGGCAAAGAGGGCCGGTCGAGGTGCCGCGGATTTTTCTGCCGGCACCGCGGCCACGGCATCCAGGGTATTGACCGCGGGACAGACAAACGTCACCTCGCCGTACACGTGCGCAAGCGTTGGGAACCACGGCGCATGCTGCGGCACGGCCGGCGCCTGGGGGTAGTGCTGGGCAATGATAGAGGCGGCTGTTCCCGCCTCGCCGGCCGGGCCCAGGCCGGGGTAGTTGCTGACGATGAAGCCAACGACGTCGTCTTGGCTGGCGGCGTTGGCCACCAATATTGTGCCTTCGTCCGAGGCCACGCCGTACAGCATGGGTACACGCACATAGCGTCCTTGCCGGAAGAGGACAGAGGGCCGGTCGACAATCAGGTCGCCGTCCACGCAGGGGCCCCAATAGAAGCCTGCAACGCCGGGTCCCTCGGTCGATGCATTCCCGCGAAACTGGAACGACGACGGGACATTGGCACGCTGCTGGAGCAGCTCGACGGGCGTCTTGCGCAGGCACGCGATAGCATCGCCGACGGCCTTTTCGTCCTCGTCATCTTTGAGGTCCGGGCACACGGCGTGGACGGCGCGCCAGAACTTGTAGGTGACGTCCGCACACGTCGGCAGCGTCGGCACAAACACAGACTGGGCGACGGCGCCCACAAACAGGCCGTCGTCGCGGCCACCATAGGCGACCGTGTGCAGCGCCACCGACCCCGCACCGGCCGAGCCACCATGCACGACGACGTGCTGCGGGTCGCCGCCGAAGCGGTGGATGTGCTCCTGCACCCAGGCGAGCAGGGCGCGCTGGTCGAGCAGGCCGGCATTGGGCACGACGTCGGCGTCTGTGGCGGCTGTGCCGGGCGCCGCCAGAAAGCCGTACAGGCCCACCCGGTAGCTGAAATTGACGAAGACAACGTGGCCGCCCGACCGTGCCACCACGTCGGCGCCGTCAATGTTGGGATTGCTGTTGGCAACGTAGCCGCCGCCCTGGATAAAGACCCAGACGGGAACGCCTTTGGAGTTGGCCGTCTCGTCGGCTGCATGTGCGCCGTCCTTGGCCATGGCCGACGCCGGTGCCCACACGTTGACAAACAGACAGTCCTCGGCTTGCCCGCTGCCCGGCGCTGGATCCGCACCCATGCCCAGACAGATTGGCCGGAAGTCCGTGGCCGCTTGCACGGCCGTTTCATTGTCCGGCGGAGCGGGTGCTTGCCAGCGTCGCGCGCCCACGGGCGGTGCTGCATAGCGCATGCCCAAGAACTTGTTCACGGCGATGGGGTTGGCACGCGTATCGTGATCGCTGCCTCCGTCGCTCGAGGGTGGGTACACCTTTGGGAGCCGCATGCCGGCATACTGCGCGTAGCCCAAGTTGACGCGAGGACCAACGCCGCCGCCGTCGTCGTTGTCGCCGTTCTTGTGCCGGCGGTCAATGCCGGCCGCAATGGCCAATGCAAAAAGGAGCACAACGGTGATGACGCACAAGAGGCCGGCCGTGCGGCGTCGGCGGCGTCGGAGGTGCTCGTTCTGCTGGGCCCGCGTCGTGCCCACGCCGGCACCGCCCCGCGCCAACGGACCGCGCTCGCTGCTGTGGCGACTGCTGCTGGCGTTGTCGCCGCCGCTGTCATCGAGGTAGCTGTCGCCGTCCGCATTTTCGTCTGCGCTGTCCAAGTTGCTGTCGACGTCGTCGTCAAACTCGTCTTCGTCGTGGTCATTGCCGCCGCCACGCCCGTTCGACGGACCACGCGACAGCAGCCGAATCGTCTCGGCGGCGTGCGCGTCCGATTGATCCGCTGCGGTGCGGCCGCCTTTTCGATCGGCCATGCCGTCTGGTTTGCGAGGCGCGTTTTTTAGCCGTGACAATTGTCATCCACACAGGCTGTGCAAGCCCGTTGTTGGTCGAAATGCGGCATCAAGAGATCATGAGTCGTAATTGCTGTTGGACAGTCCAGCGTCTTGATAAACACACGGCCAGACTGTCGTGCGCCTTAGAAGTATCCACACCAAGCATCCACGTCGATCATGGGTGTGTGGAGTGGCCATGCTGCTGCCCCTGACCCCCTATTCGCTCCTTCGTTCCTACTGTTTTTGCAAACATCAGAGCAAGACATGGGGAAGGAAAGAGGAAATCCCATTAAGAAGGAAAGAGCAACTGTGCGACAGATTTGCAGGTCCTTTAAACAAGTATCTATTTTACTATTTTACGAGAAGCATCGTAAATCCTGTCACATGTCGCATGGCTCATGGATTGTCATTTTTTACTTTATTTCACATTGGCTGGTTCTCGTATCAGCATGTCAGCGAGGTCGCCGTTCCTGGATTCCATTTCGGCATTCCTATTGTGCGGCGTCTGATAATGCTGCTATACGATGTATGAAACCTGGATTTCCTAAACTCGTTATTAATCTTCGACTGGTTTTAATGTCTAGAGTCTGTTGTGTCCTCTGACGATTATTCAATGCCGCTTTTATCCAGCCCGTCCTGCGTCTGGGCTGTATCGACCTGATTTCATCGTACCACTGCGTTTTCCCTACTGTTTGTGAGAACGTCAAGCAAGGGTGCTTCATCTTTCGTCACATCTCATCGTCTCTCGCGTTCATTGCTTTCGCTGATTTCGTATGGCACGGCTGGTATTTGTTGCACTGTGAACGAGTCTCGTGCCTTTTCATATCGTCGCCTCCCACTCCTTCAACCTGTGCCTCTTCCATCACATGCTGCACGCTTTGACGCCAATGGCTACCCGGCCCAGTCTTTGACAGCTTTCAAGCAGGGCTAGCCTGTAACAGACTGCCCCGCCCTCGAGACATACCAAAGTAGTGCACGTTGTCTAAGCTTCACCAAGCTTTGGCGCGTCTTGCAAGCTCCAAGCTCATTGTCGGATTCCGCTAATAAAACAGCAACCACGCTCGAATTTTGCCGGTCCTTTCTTTCTTCTCTCTGTCGCCATTGACTCCGGACTGACGTGCTCCACGCTACTGTTCTGCATCGTTTCTTATCGTTTCTTGTCGCTCTGTCCCTCCCAATCAACTGCAAGGCTGTCGACACCGCATTGCAGAGATACACAAGCCAAACCTCGATTAGATTCGCTCTTTCCTTGTGGCGTGTGCACCCCCTGCTACTGCACTGTCCGTCACGCCTTCCCGCCACGCGAACGTATCTTACGACATAATCCGTACACATATCCACACTCGGACGGCAGGCGCTGGCCAACATCATTTGTCTGTGCTCTATCGCCCTTGCCCCGTCATTGTTCTCTCATTGTTGTCCTTCTTTCCCCGCCAGCCGCGTGCCTTGCGTGCTGGGCCTCCCCTGCCCTTTCCCTGGCTCGCACGTTCCGGTCTTTCCTTTTTCAGTCTTTTCGCAATTATTTTACTTTATTTTTATTTTATGCTCCCGGCATAACGGCGTACTGTGTACTGTGTACTTCATTGTCCTTCCTCTCCCCCATTTCTGCACATCTGTCGTGCTTTGTGTCGGGTGGGCAGGACTGCCGGCACCATTAACGGGAGAGAAAACTCGAACAGACCCGTATTTATACGACATATTGCAGCAGTACCCGAGTATTTCATGACCCGCCATGGCCACTGCGGCCACTGCTGCCACTGCTGCCAGCGCTGATCCCCGTCTTGTCTCTGTTCCTCCACCGACATCTTCCTCCTCGCAGCCCGCAGAAGCTCAAGTTGAATCTCAAGGACATTCTTTGACCTCGATCCCGACCTCCACCTCGGCACACGACTCATCACAGAACCAACCAGACGAGCTCCCGTCGATCCCTCCTCCCGTCCTCTCGGCGCCCTCGTCACCAAGATCCGCCTCGGTTGTCTCGTCCGGCGAAGGCGCCTCACCCGCGTCACCTTCTTCGCCAACGACACGCCCAACACGCGGTGCGTCTACGTCGTCGTCCACTGGCTCTGTCGGACGCTCCGGCCTCTTCAACCGCAGCTTGTCAGGCATCCGGCGACAGGCCACTCAAGACCGTTTGGATGAGATTCTAGAGGCAGGTGTCCATTGATTTTTTTTTTTTTTTTCTTTTTACCGTTTTCCTCTCGTCGCCCGCGACTTGCTCCGTTCATCCACGCATCGTCTAACACACTGGAACAGACGGCCCGCAACCGCGCCGAAACCTATACTGCGGCAGCCCCATCTGCCACGCCACCCGACCGCAACCGACGCGCCACCTTCCGCATGGAACCGCTCCTCCGCAACCAGTCCGCACCGGGCGCGTTTGCCGGCATTGCCGAGCAGTACGAGAGCGAGAGCGCCGACGAGACAACGCGCATCAACCGGCGAGACAACAACAGCCTAAACTACCAGACGACGTCGAAGCCCGCGTCGCGGTCCCCCCACTCTGGCCCACGGGCGCGGAAACCAGGAGGGAGCGAGAGCGGCCAGGGGAGCCAGGGTGATGGTAGTGGCGGTGGGGTGCCACGAGGAGGATCGCGCGCGGCGTCGGTGCGGAGCAGAACCACCAGCGCCGGCGCACCACCACCACCTCCGCCAAGCAGCCGCTGGACGGACTTTTGGGCCGGCTTCCAGTCCGTCGAGCTCGAGAACAAGGGCAGCGTCGCCCGCGACCACTTGGCCCTCGAGCGCACCTTTTTGGCATGGCTGCGCACGTCGCTCGCCTTTACCTCCATTGGCATTGCCGTCACGCAGCTGTTTCGTCTGAACACGTCCACCGATGGCAGCAACAACAACAACAACAACAGCGGCTTCCACCGGTTGCGCAATGTCGGCCGTCCGCTGGGCACCGCGTTCTTGGGCATCAGTGTGCTTATTCTGTTTTTGGGCTACCACCGCTACTACCAGAGCCAGCAGTGGATCCTCAAGGGCAAGTTTCCCGCGAGCCGTGGCACCATCCTGCTTGTGTCGCTGGTCGCCTTTGCGCTCATGGTGACGTCGCTTGTCGTGGTGGTGGTCGTGCAGCCGACCTAGCGGCGCGTCTACGAAGCAGGGCGTGCGGGAGGCCTTGTCCTTGTTCTTATTCCTTGTTCTTGCTTAGATTGTATTATTGTGCTTTGGAAGGGCAGCCTGTCCAAGGACAGATTCCCACTCAGGGCCGGCGTTCTTGTTGTGCATTTTCAGATGGATATCCTCGGGAGCTTGTATCATCGCAATTGGCGCATCAGCGGCCACAGGTGGTCGTGGCCACAGAGTTCGACGGCTGTGTGGAATTTGGTCGTTTTTGTTTAGCACGTATCTTTTGGATAATTGCATTATCGACACTCTGGCATTTGCTCTTATCACTGCCTTTTGGGTACCACCGATTCGAGCCGAGCTGCATTCATCTGATGAGCTTTGGTCGATCTGTGATTACCGCTGCATCGTGCATACGTCGTGCATGAGCTGCGTGTTGATGCAGACGTCAACTGTTTTGGCCAGTTCAGGCCAATCACGATCGACATTCACTTTTTGATGATGCTCCTAGACTGCGTCCTGCAGCCAGTCCAGGCGTTGCGCAGACGCACATGCAAACTCCGATGCTTTTGAGCCGCATCTCGAGGATACAGACGAGCCTGGCGCATTTGGCAGCTTGGTTTGACACGTGCGACGTGCGACCGAACGTGGAGGGAGCACGGGACACCGCCCAACTGGGTAACCGGCCTGGCCCTGCTGGCCGTATGGGGAAGCGGAATGGCGCAACGTGTGTGCCGGTCAGCCGGGCAGATGAGAAGGAGGTTGCATTTAGCGACCGCGTCTAAATGGGAATATGCTTAAAAGTGAGGGGCTTGCTTGTCAGGAGGCCCTGAATAATCTACATTTTTTTTCGGTCCTGTTTTGTTCAAGCCCAGTTTACTTTTAATCGACGGCATTGTTGGAGGCATTTACTGTCTTTGTACGTCCTCTGCCGTCTGGTTCATATGTGCAGATCATAGCCAAGGGTCACTGTTGATGAAGGAACGAGGACGGGAAAAAGGAAAACGTGGGGTGTTTAACATGATCGTGAGGTTCATCAGTTCGGCCCGTCAACATGAGTATGCAGAGGATAGCTCGAACAAGGGACACAAATCTGTCAACGGAGAAAAGACTTTGGGTGCACTTTGGTAAGCCGTTTTTTATTATATTTATTTGTGTAACTATATTTTAATGTTTAAAAAAGATCGGTCCAATACCACCTATCGCAGACAGAGGATATTCGTTTTACGGCCACGATCAACGACGGTGAACTGCGCAGTTATCCTCTTTGGCTTGGAGTAAGATGAACGACAATCTCAACGCCCCCGGCTCTCCTCGACTCCTGGAGTCTGACGCTGCAATGAGCATAGTTTCGGTCCCAGTCGAGCTTGGTGCATGACTATGCTAACAGGCACTTTACTGGCCAATTTACTGGCCACGTTTTTCTCTTCCAAGTCCATGCTGAGCACAAAAATGTTCACCGGGATCTACGGGCATGACGAATGGTCCCTCCTCTATTGGGATCGTGTTCTCATCATTAGGCCTCCGCCCTCCATCACTTGTCTTGCCTAATCGTCACTGTATGCCTTTTACACGTCGCCTTGCCATGACTGTGTCGTCACGCGGGATGCGCTGGCTGTAGCCACAGTCAAGGATGTTGTGCGTTGCCTGACCCCTCAAAACCAGCCTTGGCTTTGCTGGCGATTGAGTCTCGGTGACTCGGTCTTTTCGCCAGCTTCTTACCTTCTGGACGTCCCAACGCGCGGCCGTTCTGACAAGTCCCCTCACCAAACGAGTCGAAGACATGCGGTCGGCATTTTGTTTGTTGCAAAACACTCTAGACAAAAGCAAGACATTGTGCAAGAACATTGGATTGCTGGCTTTTGCTCGACGCAAAAGGGGCGTCGTTGTGTTGTAATTCCACACGAATACGATAGGCAAAGGCAGAATGTGGGACATCGAAGGACTTGTACGAAGCCCACCCTGAATGTGTTCAAGAAAATGCTCAATATTACTCGTATTACTAGGCGCTCCATGATCTTGGCTGGCGACGCATTCTGCTGGCATCTGAACTCATTGCGGTTTACTTGAACAGACAAAGGCGTTTTGGGCGTATCAGTTCCCCGGTCAAGCCTGGCTAGGAATGTGGTATTTAGTCCCTCAATCAGCACACGGCGTTCGTGTCCGACACTTTGTTGGCCAAGCAGTCCCTGCGTCCTTTGTTTTCGGGGCAACGTGTGGACGCCTTTGTGGCCCAAGCGTTCCCCAACGTGGCGAGGATGGCACAGTCGTTCGTTCCCATGGTTCGCTCGACGGTAGCCTATACTATAGTTGGCGGGCGCACACACGCCTCTTCCGCACCTTAATCATCCTCCATCCCCTCCCTCCTTGGCTGGTTCGTACAAGAACATCCCACATACCTTTCTGTACGAGAAGGCCCTGCAGGCGTTTTTCATCATCTTTTGGTTGGAATGCCTTTTCAATAATTCGTACAGTTGCGCTGTCGTTTCACGTCGTATTGTAGGCCGTAGTTTTCCTCACTTTGGATAGGACTCCTGCTCGCCCGAATCTATCCTAGTTTCCATTGATTGTTTTCACAGTTCTTTACCAGGCTCCTCTTTCTTGATATTCGCCCTCTTGCTTGTTCCTTCCCGTTTGTTTGTCTCAACATTCCTTGCCTTTTTGTTTCCCTTTGTGCTATTCTTGTGCATCGCTCTTTCTCGTTCCCCCCTCTTGCCCTTCCAACCAGTCCTTGTTCACGTTTTCTCGTTCTTTCCGAGTTCCATTGCAACAATCTGCATCGTTCCTTCCCTCCACGGCAGGCCATACTGGATTAGGACTGGCGAACCGGGTAGCAACCAAACCGCCGCACTTGCCCTCCTTTCTTTCTCAAATATCTCTCCTTCGTCCACCTTACATCAATTTTGTTCTCGTCACTTTTACTTTCGCCTCTCCAGTTTCTCTCCCATTCAATTCGACCTCGGAATCGAGTACGACATACGCCAAGCATTCTGTCTGCTAGGACTCGGCAAACAAAGGTCCCGGCCGAGGGCGCTTATCCATCACTCGCCCACGTCAGGTCGCTGCGCCCCTTTTGCTTTTCCCCAGCAACAACGCCGACTTTCCCTTACTTCTCGCCAACAACTCAATTTGTCTCAGTCAGAACTCAAACGCCCTTGCACCGACCGTGTTTGCTCCTTGGTCTCCCTCGAACCTGTCGACCATCGTTTCGTTCTCGACCTCGACAACCACCCCCGGCGCTAACCAACATTTCTTCGGCATCCCTTGGATTGCCTCTCTCGCCTGTCTGGGTCCTCGAACGCGACGAGATCGACCCTCCTTGTCCCCACAGGCGCGAAGAAAATATCTGTACGCATCGACTATCACTGCACGGGCACGGCATATACGGTGTACGGCTACGCAACGCAGGAGCACCTGGACACAAAATCGATTTTTGATCCGACAAAGTAGGTTTCCCTGCTAGTGCCGTTGTGTCTGGGGACACAACAGACAACAGCGGGCAAAATCGACAAGCAGATTGGATTGAGCGGTCAGCATTCAGCATCAGCGTTTGGCCCGTAGCACCTCAACTCGCTCCTCGCTTCTCGCAGCCTTCACCTGGGCCTTGCAAAACCTTGACGCACCAAGCCGACTGCTCCAACACATTTACACAAACGCTTCTCTTGGAGAGAAGACTGTTTTGTATACGACATACACAATACGATCCATTTCCGTGTGCGACACACGTCTCGTTTGCGAAGGACTGACTCGCAGGCTTTTCGACAGTCGCCCAACCAGCGTCTCATTTCCTCCCAGAACTTTGTCCCTCCATCTCCTTTCAGCCGCCATCCAGCCTTTTCATGCTTCCACGAAACATACACCTACGTATCCGCCCGACAAGATTATCGAACGCTCTTTTGGAGTCGTCCCTTAATTGAGGCTCTTTAGCGTTCCTGCCCCTGTCCCGCACAAGTTCGCTTTGCTGGGATCGACGCCAAATTACCCGGACTGCTGGGCTGTGTCGTGTGCCGCTCTGTTGCTTTTTGGGGGGGACGTGTCAGGAGGCAGGGTAAACACGAGAGAGGGGGTGTACCGACAACCAACGACGACGGCGAATTGAAGACGACGGCCGTGATCTAGCCAGCCCTCGTCTTCCCTCGTCCTCTTCGTCCTCTTCGTCCTCTTCGTCGACCGTGACCGACCCATTTCCGACGTCTTTACCCATCCACCTTCTCACACGCATCCGCCACAATGGCGTTACCCGTAGCCATCCAGTCGGTCGTCTTCTACTACCTGGCATGTACGCCATGCATGTCCGCACGCACCCGGCATCGTGCCAAAAAGAAGTTTGACAAGGAGCGCAAGGAGCGCGCGGCGATGGAGGAAGACGAACCGCCCATCTACCGCCATCCCAGTCCCTTCAATGTCAACCCCTACTGGCAAGAAGAAATCATGATGGGGCCCAGCCTGCCGAAGAAGGGCCGTGCCGCCAAGCAGAACTCGAGCCAACGCAAACTCACCAGCGCCGGCAAAGATAGCAGCATTGCCACGCGTAGCAGCTTAGCGATTAGCAATCACGGAGGCGTGCCAAATAGCAGCGGTGGCAGCGGCGGAATTCTACAAGGAGCCAACGGTGGCTCGGAGCCATTGCCAGAAGGAGCCGCAGCGGCCGCCAGTGATGGTACCGACGCAACAGCAGCCGGTGGCGCAGCCGACCGAAGAAGCGCCGACAACAGCATGCCGGCCTCAAATAACTCCAGCGGCGCCAACGTCGCTAACAAGTCACGCACGAGTGGCGGCCAGCCACCGGTCAGCCCAACATTGAACTCCGACGATGCTCGTAGCATGAGCATGCTCGAAGCCACAGCGACGGCCGCGACAGTCGGTACGACCACGACGACCAGCGCCGAGGGCTGGAACTACAAGCGGTACCAGCGCGAGGACGAGGAGCTGTGGGGCTCGGAGCCGTCTCGGACGCACAAGCTCATGGACGCCATTGTTAAGGCCGGGTCGTCTGCGGGCCGTCTGCTCGAGAGTACGCTGGGGACTAAGGAGCGCGGTGGCTTCTCGACGGGCGCCTACTACAGCGGTGGCAACCTCGCCGTCACCGACGAAGACCGTGCCAACTTTTACTCGCCGACCATCATCCACCCACCCGTCAACGACTACCACCCCCCCGTTGTCGGCAGCAAGCCGGCCCACAGGGACGCGCTGCGCTGGATGCTGCAGCCGCCGCCGCCGGCCAAAGTGATGGAGGGCAAGGTCCCCGTCAGCCGCAGCACCAGTGTGGCCAGTTCTATGAATGGAGGCAGCATGCGCCGGTCGACCACAGCCGTCGCCGGATCCGAGGTGTCCCTCACGCGCAGAATGGCCCGCGAGGCGCGTCTCCGCCGTGGCGATTCAGCCAACAGCGGCGCCACTGTCACAGGTCGCCCACGCGCTTCGTCTTCCACTTCGACGGAGGAAGACGATGCTGCAGCCGTTGCCGCAGCGGCGGCCACTGCCAACCTTAGCCGCACTGTTTCTCGCAAGTCCGCTACCACCGGAAACGAGATCCGTCCCAAGAGCCAGCAGCGACTCGGATCGCGAGGTGCCGCCGCCGCCGCCGCCGGTAGGAGCCGCAGCGGCAGCCTTGCATCGTCTGTCGAGGACCCAAACTGGTCGTCGGATGACGACGGCATGCTGCGCACAAAGTGGCGGTTCCCAAACGCTGCACCTCCGCCGGTCCCCGCCATGCCGTCGCTCCCCGTTACTGCCGTGCTGCCAGGCAGCAGCGGTGATGCTGGTGCCTCCTTTCCGACCTCCAGCCTCCAGCCACGGTCCTCGCTGCACGTGAACAGCCAGAACCCGAGCCGCACGAAGCTCGAGACGATCTTGAGCTCGGACGCCAGCGGCAAGATGGACATGAGCCGCAGCAGCAGCAGCAGCCGCGGACGAAAGGAAAACACGCGGCCCGGCGTCATCAAGGGCGCCGCGACGAGCTCGAGCACGAGCACGAGCACAGTCGTTGCCGCCTCTCCCGGAAACGGCGATGCCACCAAGGCACCGCATGACCGCTCGGCCGGCTCGTCGCTGGACAGCGGCCTGGCTCTGTCTTCGTAGGCGACTGCCTCGGGACTCGCCAGGCGACTCTGCTGCCTTACTTCTCTGTAACTCGCTTTTACATTTCTATGTTTCTTTATTATCGCATTTGTCCCACTTCAGCCACTACAAGTTTATTTTTTTGGTCTTTTTTGTCTTCTCAACCATTCTTCCGTTGCTTGTTATGCGCGGCGCATTTGGGCATTTGGGCATTTGGGCATTGGGCACGTCAAAGAGCTTGTATTTTTTGTATTTTCTTCCGTTCCTTTTCATCTTCCTTCGCAAGCATTGTCCAACATTCTTGGGGCACAACACAGCATTGGAGCACACACACACCGGAGTTTTTGAATTTGTTGCAGTCCTCCAAATTTTATTTTGTCACTTTTGTTATTGTTCATGGACACTATTTCGTCAGACTCTTAGAAAATCGTCTTCTTTTGTGTCCGTTTGTTATCAAATAAGGTGTTGTGGTTGCGTCGTTGACTTTCGGCAGGGCACCCTACCCTTTCCTTGTAAAACTATGTAGGACTTGATGCAGATTGGAACCATAATCGAAGCCGTTCTTTAACCGTTCTTCAATAAACCGTGCAATTCGCGTCCCTTTGTGTCAGGAGTCGCTCCATGCACTGTGATGCAACTATCCCTCCTTCTAATGACGTCTTTGTTATCTCGAGCTAGCGCTGCGCTATCGCTTCAGTGTCCCCTCTCGTGTCAGGGGAGTTACAATGTGGGGTAAAGACCACTATATTTCGGCGATACCTCCCCCCAGTCACACGCCAAAGTCCATGAAAGCCACTGGAATCGCTGTCCTTGAGAGCCCTTTGTCGCTTCAGCCGAGCAGTTTGCAGGGCACGAGACTGTGCATAACAGACAATATGGATGGCGAGATGCCCAGTCGGACCTGGTTTCTGTTTATTCCTCTGGTGTATCTCTGAAGTATTTCGATTGGTTTCCCGGCTGCTTCTGTCTTGACTCTTCCCGTTGTCGTATCTGTCTTATCCCCAGAGTCATTACGCCGGTCTTGTGTCACTCCCTTTCCGTTTTTGGCATCATCTGTCATCACCTGTCATCACCTGTCATCACCTGTCATCTTATCCCTTGCGGCCCTCCTCATCGCCCCTAATCGGCCGTTTCTCCTTCAACTGTCTCCCGCGACACTAGACGACCGGTTGTCTGTACTTTCGCCGCATCTTCTGCTTCTGTCCTGGCCATCACCTTTCCAGTCCTTCTCCCTCCAATTGCGTCCCTGAAGCGTCCCCCAGTACGCCCGCCCCGCCAGTGTCTCCGCAATGGGCTCCGTCCAAGACTCTCCCGCCGAGGAGTTTGAGGAGTTTACGGTCCTCGTCACCGGCTTTGACGTACGTGGTTCATCTTTGTCTGCCATGAAATAGTAGTGCGTTGCATGCTCACGGCTGCCTTTACCTGGCACAGGCGTTCAAGTCGGAATACCCTCAGAACCCCTCCTGGGAGATTGCCCGCCGGCTGCCCGAGTACCTGCCGGCGCGGACAAAGACGGCATCTTCTACGGCATCCTCTACGACGACGGCTCCGTCACCAGCGTCTGTACCGCCCGTGCGCATTGTCGTCTACCCAGGACCCGTCCGCGTCAACTACCAGGCTGTCCGCACGCTCGTGCCCACACTCTGGGACGGCACGCCGACCAAGGTGGGGGGCGGGGCGTATGACGATGGCAAAGAAGACAAAGAAGGCAGAGAGGGCACGGAATTTACGCCCCCGAAAAATATTGACCTCGTCCTCCACATTGGCATGGCGGGCCCCCGCCTCCACTACGCCCTCGAGCGCGTCGGCCGCCGCGACGGCTACACCCTGCGCGACGTCGACGACCAGCTGCTCGGCGACACCCCCGCGGACCGCGGCGACCCCCGCTGGCCCTGGTACGGCGTGCCGGCCGCCCTCGAGTCCCATCTCGACCTGGACGACGTGCTGGCCCGGTGGCGCGGCCATGCGGCGCCCGGCGCGGACCTGCGCATCTCCGTGGACGCCGGCCGCTACCTCTGCGACTTTATCTACTTTAGCTCGCTGGCCCACCTGTACCGGCGGGACCAGGAGGCCGACCACAAGGACGCGCGGTATGCGCGGCGCCGGGTGGCTTTTTTGCACGTGCCAGCGGCCGCGACGCCCGAGCGGGTAGAGGCCGGGAGGGCGCTCGTGGTGGAGCTGATCCGATCGCTGGTGGAGTCGGAGGTGGTGGCACGGGGGAACGGCGACACGCCTGTGGCGAATGCGTCGGCGGCGGCGGCGAGTGCGGCGGCGCCGGGGGCAGACACAGTGACGGGGAAGTGGTACCGCGACTAGGGGGCGGCCGGAACTGAGACAAGGGTACGGGAAAGGGCGAGTGAGCGGACGTGAGACCGCGTGAGAGCGAGCATGCATGAGCGGCATGTGTGGCATAAGTCTAGCAATACGACCTCAATACGACCTTTTGGTTGATGACATGATTTCCAGACCCCACTGTTATGTACTGTGTGTATTCGCCGTTGCGCCTGCTCGAATGTCCGATTCATGTGACATTGACCCATCGTTCTTCGCCCACGACTCTTTCTTACCCCAGTTTCCTAACACAGCTACGTCTGTTGCTAACGACCAGCACATCTTACGGCGCGGCAAAGCGGACGCCGTCAGCAATAGGCACGTCTCGGCACATGCACGATTTGGATTGCATGTATCTTATGCATGTTGAATATGACGTCAAAATTGAGGCCAAGGCTGCAGGCTATATACAAAAACAAAAACAGATCCGCACAAACCCAGAATAACTGTCAAAACACGCTGTCTATGTATCTCTCTAATCGTCTAAGCACACCGTAGCATCGTCTGATCGCCCAATCGTCTAGATCCTTGCGTCCGGCTTCCACAGGGCACGGCCGTACTGCGTCGGCCAGCTGATGGGCACACCCAGCTTGTGGGCCACGCGCCGCACAAACTCGGGTTCCTTGAGGAACTGGCGGGCCACCAGGACCAGGTCGGCCTCGACGTTGCCGCCCTTTTGGGCCGCGTCCCTGGCCAGCTCGGCATCCCGAATGAAGCCGAGGGCGCCAAACTGGAGCGCGTCGGCGGCCTTGCTGCCCTGGGCGCGCAGGCCCTTCTTGATCGCGGCCACGAGGTCGGTCTGGTAGGTGGGGTGCAGCTGGATGGACTGGTCGCGGGAGTTGCCGCCGGACGACACGTCGAGCAGGTCGACGCCCAAGGCGGGCAGCTGGTCGGCCAGCTTGACGGTGTCCTCGACGGTCCACGAGGGCTCGTCGGTGACGGTCTCGAGCCACTCGGTGGCCGACACGCGCAAAAACAGCGGCATGCTGTCGGGGAGGACGGCCCGGACCTCCTGGACAATCTCCAGCACCAGGCGGATGCGGTTCTCAAAGGAGCCGCCGTACTGGTCGGTGCGCTTGTTGGTGGTGGGCGACAAAAACTGCGTGAGGAGGTAGCCGTGGGCGGCGTGGATCTCAACGACGTCGACGCCGGCGGCCACGGCGCGCTTGGCCGCGGCCGCGAAGCTCGCCTTGATCTCCTGGATGTCGTCCAGCGTCACCGCGTGCGGCTGGAGCCAGTCGGGCGCATAGGCGATGGCCGAGGGCGCCCACGTGTTGTCGGGCCAGCCGCCCTCGCTCTCGAGGGCAAACAGCTTCTCGCCGCGCTGGGCCTCGTGCCACGGCGCCAGCGTGCTCGCCTTGCGGCCGGCGTGGCCCAGCTGGATGCCAATCTTGTTGCCCTGGCTGTGCACAAAGTCGGCAATGCGCTTGAGGGGCGCAATCTGGCTGTCCTGCCACAGACCCGAATCCTCGGACGAGATGCGGCCGTTGGGCAGGACGGCGGTGGCCTCGACAATGGTGAGGGCGGCGCCGTTCAGCGCAAACTGGCCGAGGTGGACCAGGTGGAAGTCGGTCAAGTGGCCGTCGTCGGCCGAGTACATGCACATGGGCGAGACGACAAGGCGGTTGCTAAACTCGACGCCCCGGATCTTGTGCGGCGTGAAGAGGGTCGGAATGGGCTTGCCGTCAAACGTCGTCGACTGGGTGGCGGTGCCGGGCGGCGGTGTCTGGGCCGGCGTGTAGAAGGGCACGCCAGCTGCGGGCAAGCTGACGGTTGTTTTGCCGCGCTGGGTGATGCCCGTAGGACGTGTCATGGTGGCAATGAAGCGTGTCTTTGTGGAAGGTAGAGAGGATGTGGTGATGCTGAAATTGGAAGAGAGTGGAGAGAAGACGTGCTGAGATGAGAGCAAGAGATGGTGACGCGATCGAACTGAAGCGATCAATGCCATCGAGGTTGGATGGGATCGTGCCTTTTATACCGGGGGGGGGGGGTGGGACAGAAAAGGAGATCAAGAAAAGGAAAACAGAAAACAAGCGAAGACGGCGGAAAGCCAAAGAGGATCGAGGATCGAGGCCAAAGAAGCAAGAGGCAGCTGCACAAAAGTGGCCCTCCGGCAGCCAAGAAACGAGAAAACGAAAAAAATGGCGATTGCGTCTTGCCCGGCAGGAGCGATGGCCGTCTATACGCGGGGGTGGGCCCTGTCAGGGAAGGAATGCCCTCGACGAGGAAGGCAGGTGCGGTCCAGTGGATGGCGCCTGCTTAGCACGCAAGCAGAGCAAAACTTGCAGTTATTGAACAGACTCGTTCGAAATCAAAATGGCAGCTGCGGAGATGCCGCTTAGGCCCGTATCCAGGGAAGGTGCGCCCTGCAAGCGAACGCGGAAGGAACGCGGCACGGAAGCACTCCGAATCATGACATATCAAGGGCGCGACAGTGAATTACTCAGGGTCTTGCGTCTTATACGGGAGGAGGAGATCTTGAATTGCATTGCGGCCACCGGTGGCCGTATATTATTGGCGGGTTTTATTTGAGTTTTTAGTGGACCTTGGTCAAACATATTCCCGCGCGTGCTTTCTAATAAGGCAGGCTGCGTAGAGTGGGCACGTACGAAACGCTAAAGGGAGAAAACCGGGTGTCCATAGGGAAAGTGAGAAGAACGAGCGAGAAGAAGTCGATCGAATGAAAAGAACCCGGACACGGAAGTCGATCGAATGAATAGAACTCGGACACGGCATTTACTTCCAAGGGGAGCATCTACGTCGACGGAGCAAAATGGTTCCCAATTCCTGCAGGCCCTTTAGTGACTGCGTCGACCAACTCTACCATTATTAATGAGAATTTGACGTATGCTCAATACGCCTGGCTGTTGGTGATGCATTTGCATCGACCTTGCACGTCCGTCTCCCACATCGTGGACGACACCGAGAAGGTCCCCTGTAGGCTAGCACTCGCCCGTTGGGCCTTTTTGGAGAGCCACAATGTCCACGGCGTCAACGGAATAAACAGTTGCAATTCGTTCGCCGCAAGGCAGTGTGAAGTGTCTGAATTCGGCTCGGAGCGCTACCAACAGCCAGGGGACTCAGGGCAGGAAGGCGCTAATGACGAAATCACGAAATGGACCCACAGCGCTTGTGTCGAGCCGCTCTTGCTGACAAACCCAAAGCGCTCCTCGACTCTCGTCGCAACAGCCAAACGACCGAATTTTCGCAGCCACACGACGTACGCAAATCGTAGTCGGTATTTTTCAAAAAGGCATGAGGACAACACCAAACGATGGCAATCTCGTCGTGCTCACTCGGACAGCGTCGAGTTGGGTCGGCAGCTGCCAATTGGGAGACTCGGTGCGTCGAGACCCGTTTGTTATTCTTTTTTTTCTTTTGCGTGCCTGTTTGGGTCAATTGGATTTGTTGGCGGCCTTTTTTTAGCTTTTGCTTTTTGATTCCTCAGCCTTACCTAGCCTGCTCGCGTCTCGCCTCGTCTCGCCTTTAGAAGCATCTTCGGTCCGCTTTTTCCTTCTATTATTCATCCAGTGGTTTTGTCAGCCAGCCACAGAAAATTTCTTTTTGGGCGTTTCCTTGTAGCCTCGTCATTCTGAGCTGTTTTACAGAGATTCATAGAGAGATTTTCTATTCTGTACATCGTATGTCGTATTTGGTCCACGATTATCATTATCCCAAGCCATTCCATTTGGGGGTCTTGAAGATCGCCAATCACTTTGTTGCCCGAGCGCTCAAATAGGGTACTCAGGAAGCTGTGCATGAGCCAATGACGACGTAACCAATACAGTATCACACGCAATTGGTGAGTGAAGGCCGTGTATGGAACACACAAATCACTGTAGTTCGTACTACCACAGCTTTCTCGAAACGTTGTTTTGAAACGTCCTATCTTTTCTGCTTCTTCTTTTTTTGTGCAGGTGAAACGCATGATTATGAAACAGACGGAAACAGAACCCCGCCAACCACACGACGGCTGAGCTGTTAGACCATGAAGAATACGAGATGAAGAGGAGGAATAAAATGAGTAAAGAAAAGGGGGACAAAAGGAAGTGATGAATGACAAGCCGAAGTCGAGGAAGTAAGTGAAAAAAAAAAGGAAAAGTAAGAGAGGAAGAAAACGGTGTGTCGACTTCGCCTTGCATCCAATCCGATCACGGAACATCCCTCATTCGACAACGGGCGGCGCTGTCCGCATCGTGTATGAGATTGGACGGCAAGATGAGGGGAAAGAAACAAGTATGTCGTACGTCGTGCTTATCCTCATTAAAGTTTAGAGTTGGAGAAGACACACGGCGTGCAGAGCACGCCAATGATCCCAAATAGCTGGAAATAAGACGCCGGAAGCCATAAGACGGGCGTGCGCCGTGTCCGCAATGCTCGAGCGCATGGCTGTGCGCTGCAGCTTTCGATGCAATGAGCTTCAGTGCGTGCAGCCATGTATGCCATGCAAGCTCTCCATCGACAGCGTAATTTAACGTGCATAAAAAGACGAGGACGAAACGATTGTGATGTTGATGTCCAGGAACTTGACTTTGACGTACGACGTACAATACGAACGATACAATAGATGAAAGCAGCGTCCTGCAATACTCTCTGTACCTGAGAGTGGAGGAGAAAACGGGAGCTCGAAGCCGGGACTCACAGCTTGGGCCTTGGCTGGGGCGAGTCGTCTGCTGTGAGTTGTTAGCTATCGGCGGGACCAGAACCTGCCAAATGTTTCAGATGCGGCAGCCGAGGGCAGAGTCGATTTACGTTGATGGATTGGTGGATTGGCAAATGGGATCAACTTTCTTGTCAGTGGGAACTTTTGGCTGGACCGTTCCATCCGCTTACACGAGAGACGAGAGACAGCGGTCCAGTGTTTGAGAGCCCTGTCCTGTGGCACAGAAAATACAAGAAATGACTTGTCCGAATTGGGCGAGCCTTCGAGATTCGGACTAGTCCCTGGATCGTGCAGGTGTCAGTTGCGCCATGAGCTGAAAGTTGAATTCAAATAAATAAATAAAATGGATACTGTGTGCGAAGTACTCCAGCTGACAGTCCACAGTTCAAGCAATCTCTACTCATCTCGTCAACTTGCATTAATTGATTTCCCTTTCCCCTCTTGAGCACAGACAAAGTAAATTGAGTCGCTGCTTCAGTAAAAGAAGAGAAACCCCACTCTACAGAGTACTGCATCTGTCCCTCGTGGCTCTCTGGCCTCTCCGAGCCAACAGGGGTCACTGGCAGGAAGCTGGCCAAAACTGACCAGACAGGGAGCAAAATGGAACAAGGCTCCGCTCGCCACGAAACCCTTTGAAACAGCAGACCGGACGAAAAGGGTAAACGCCGGCAGAGGCGAAACGACGACAAGGAGAGCGTGGCAGCACTGTTCAGCAATAAAAGGAGACGGGAGACTGGACAGAAGTAATGCAGTAATGCTCCGCCCACGATAGCTCGCAGCGTAGCATGCGGGTGAACATCAACTCGGATCACTCTTTCGCGCCGAAGTCGATCCATAATTGGGACGACAAGTGCGTCGTGTAGGTAGGCACTTTAACAAATGGCTAGCCAGAATAAGGAGAAGATGAAGAAAAATCGTTCAAAAGTGAAATCATTAAAAAAAAGACGAGAAGGAAAGAAAGGGCTACGTAGACCAATCGACTAATAGTAACAAAGTATGTCATAAACCCAAGACGACCATCTTCATCACCGTTCTGACATGGTATCCCAAACGCCCTACCCCTATCACAAACGCTGACAAGCCATGAAGCGTTGGTGGCACGAGAGACGAGTCCAAGGCCCCTCCTCCCTCCGATCACCCCCCGGCACACCTCCGTGCACGCTCCATCTGTAGCCCCCCATCCGCTGCCCTCATCCAACACCCTGGCTCAACATCGTGCCATGACAGGCCGGATGTGCCAGAGACTGGGCGCACTTGTACTTGCAGTCGTAGTCGCCTGTCGTCGAAGGCTGCATAAGAGTATCCGTCCCCTCTTTTGTCGGCCTCGTTTGTCGTCCATCGACTGTCCTCATCATCGTCAGCATCGACTCATTTGTCGTCACCGTCGGCTCACGTGTGGTTCGGTGCTTCTTGTCTCATCCATCGACCTTTTCTAACCAGCCATGTATTCGTAAGTTGTCCTCCTTGCATCACCTCGTACGACACCTTTCTTGCACTCGCCACTCACCACCCACTGCGCAGTGATCTCCTCCGCGTCCTCGTCGGTCAGGACCACCGCGAGTTTGTCGTCCACCGGGGCCTGCTCTGTGCCAGCAGCCCCTTTTTCCGCGACAGCATCGACGCCGTCCCGGAGGGCCTGACGCCGTCGTCTCCGGCGTCAACACCACCTTCGTCGCCGCCCTCGCCTCCTCCTACAACAAAACCCACCCTCATTTGGCTCTCCGGCGAGTCGGCCAATGTCTTTGAGCTGTTTGTGCTCTGGCTCTACCGCCGCCATGCCTTCCGTGCTGTCGTCGAAGACGCCGTCACCATCCTCGCCCGTGAGGCCAGGCCCGATGAGGTTATTACTCTCTTCCCAGAGCACGACTCGGACACCACCGACACATCGACCGACATATCGGCTGATGCATTGGTTGACACGTCGGCCTCGGCCAACTTGAGCGACCTCCATTGGCACCTGGTTCGCCTCCACCTCTTCGCCGCCTACATCGACATACCCGTCCTCCAGGACGCCGTCATGGACGCCCTGCAGGACCTGTACCTGCGCTTCGACTGGACCGCCACGCCGGCCCTCTTGACCTTTTTGTACGTCGAGGCCGACCCGCGGGCTGCCTGCCGTCTGCGAAAATGGAGTGTTGCCCTGTTGGCATGGACCCTCGCCAACAGCAACAGCAGCGGCGATGACCATGCAGAACCGGCCCGCCACGGTGGACTCGCCGAACACGCCGAACACGCCGAACATACTCAACTGCGCGCCCTCCTCCGCCTCATGGAACCCCTCGCCGACGAGTACGCCGCCCACATCAGCAAAATGAAGGCCAGCCGCGCAGACACCCGCATCAAGAACCCCCAGCTGCGCATCCCCAGCAACCAGCTGCGCCGCGAGGACCGCCACTTTGGCTTCCGCCAGTGCTCGTTCCACAGCCACCGCCGCGCCGCCGGCGAGGGCCGCTGCCCGCACGAGCGCGCGCGGCGCCGCGGCGCCCTCGACGTCGTGTCGTCGCTGGCGCTGCCTCTGCACTTGGGCAAAGACGTCAGGATGGACGTCAAAGATGCCAACAAGACGGTCAGCGAAGCTGTCCACAAAAACGTCACCGAACCTGTCCACAACGTCAACAAAAACGCCAGCCATGTACCGCCTCGCAGGCCAAGCCAGCACTCGCCGTCGGCGTCCCTTTGCTCGCTCTCGTCCCTCTCCTCGACGTCCAGCGGCAGTGAGCCCCGGCGGGAAGACCTGCCCGTCTGGTCGCCGCTCTCTGTCACGACTCCAGGGTATGCACCGCTGGGGATGGAGTCGACCATTTAAGCCGATTGCGTCATGCTCTTCAATGGCGTCCTTTTCTTCTTCTTCCTTTTCCGTCTCCCCGTCTCCCTCCGACTCCATCCGTCTCCCTTCATCCTTGTCCACATCTCTCTAACCCCTTGTATTATGATGTATACGGCCTGTATTTACGACTTTGTACACACTTCGGTGTGTCACGGCCTTTTGGGACGGCGTTTTATTGAATGGCTTGATGTACCGTGCTGTTATTTTTTTTTTCATGATTTTTTATGTCGAATCGCATTCTCCTGCTTTACATCTATAGGCAAGCCTGATTGGAGGCTTATGTTATACTGCACACTGGCAATGGGCATACAATCTCCTGTTTTATCTACCTATTCAGATTAATTACAAACGAACCCTCTTCGTGACTCCTCTTTTGCCAGAAAAGGCGGAGAGACAAACACTAGGGAAGGTGAGACTGTGAGAATGAGTGTACAGTGTGCAGGACCCGTGGTCTTGTAAATGGCCATGTCCAGCACAGCCGACCCGTTTTATGCAAGGAACAAGTGTTGTGGAGAAGGAGAACGTATCGTGGAAGGCGTAAGAAGGATCGATGTCAGAGGTACAACACACAAGAGGAAAGCGTTCGGGTCAAAGTGCCAGGTCGGATGCACAAGGGCATGTCAGAGTCGGCTCTCTGCACAGGATTTCCAACAAATCGCAAAACAGGATTTGACGCCACACGGCTGAGCGTTTTCTCCTTGTCCGTCTTTCTGGTACTCCATACAGGGGCGTCTAATTGTCGGATGACTTTTGGCGGGTCCCTTATTTTTGTCTTGCTGTTTTCTTTCCTTTTTTCCTTTTCTCTTTCTTTCCTTCTTTCGCTCTTTCGCTCTTGTTTATGTCACTGCAACGCTCCTTTCACCACCGTCATGTCTCGCCATCCGGAAGTTTTTTATCTTCCTCGCGCTTCCCGTCCACACATATTTACTTTCAACCAGTAAAGCAAGAGACAAATGGCAACTGACACGACAGGCGGTTAATAACAGCCGCCCCTCGCAAAGGCAATATGACAAAGCGAGAGATACGCTCGGGCGGTAGTAAGATGCGTGGAAAGACTTCGATCGTCACATTCCCATCTCCGCCAGTACATCTCCGCCAAGGAGCTCTATCTCGGCCTCGTGTTCACGAATCCTTCATCCTCTTTGAACCACTCTTGCATCGTGTATGGCACCTAACGCGGTCATCTTCGGCCTCGGCCCTTTTCTATTATTTTGAGATCTGCATGCAATCAAGTTACATGCTGAGCAAAACGCAAAGTGTACGATTTACAAAGTACGGAATAAGGCTGTGCATGTCCTATCTGCCACGGAGTCTTACTACCTTGTCACCTTTACACTTTGTTCTTATTCTTATTCTTATTCCTTGTTCCTTGTTCCTTGTTCCCTATCTTTACCATGCTTGTTTACCTTGGGTCTCGTTTTAACTGATTTGGGACGTTGGCGGATCGTGTCGACTGTTGGCTGCCTCTTTCAAACTATTGGATTTATTTATTTTTAACCACACGATCCATTTTCCATTTTGATTTCTAACAACCATGCTCTCGTCAATTTTGTGACTGGGCCAAGAACGTCGGTAGCGCCTTGGAAGCTGCAAATCCCGGACTGTGTTTCCTGCTCGTCCCACCGTCGTATGTTACGCCATTGACGCTGCCTTGTCCCTTTTCGTCCCCTTCCGACTATTTGGGATGGTGTAGCTTGAAGTTGTTGTGCGTGTATTGCGACCCTACAAACGCCACTGCATAGAATACGCACGCTCTTGGGCGATCCTGTCTCCTTTGGTATTCCCCTCCAACCGACACGATATCCAAATGAAGGCTAGACCGACTTTCCACCAACTGCACAAACCCATCCTCGACAATTTGTCAGTCTATTCTTGGCGTAGCTTTTCTACAGAGTCCTTGCATTCCGTATGCATTCTTCCTCCCCTCTTCCCATATCCCCTGCTCAGCCGAAATCAGGCTTAGATGCTCCAGAAATGCGCCGTTGCTTGGAAATATGCACGGAACGTGTGCTCGCAGAGGCGGCTGAACAGGGCCGCCCAACAGGGCCAAGAGGACCCATTTAAGAATGACAAAAACAGTGGCACACGTTTTGGGCAGCAAATCACAATGCGTCACCCCAGGTCACGACACAACGGTGAACAAGATAAGGCCCGGTGGTGATACTTTTGTCAATCTGTTGCTATTTGACTGCTGCTTCTTGCATCCGTTTTCCCGTGGGTCTTTCTTTTTTTTTCCTTTTTTTCTTTTCTATTTTTCCCTTTTTCTTTATGTATCTCGTCACTGGGGTCGCATCCCTGTCAGTAAGCCACCGAGAAGAGGAAAGTGATTGAAAGTAGAAATAATGTACGCGAAGTACGACGGTATTGTTACGGTTTAGATCTGCCGTCTCCAGTGATACCCATCAACGTCCCGGAAGCATCATGACGATGACAGAAAGCAAAAAAATTGAGTTAAAATAAGTATTCAACATAAACAATCGACAAAAGGAAAACACAGCGTTAAAGAACCCACTTTTCCGTGCCAGTTGCCTAAACAGGAAATTTTGTCGACAAGAAGACCACAGCTTCGCTTGTGAACGCCATCATCGCACAACCAGCTCTCCCCAGCGACTGGCAGCTGCAAAGGCATCGTCCAACAAAGATGCTCAGCGACATGTCTCGAGGTGTCGTACGGCGTGCGGACTAATGCGTCCCAGATTGTCGGAGAAGGTCCTCCGCCAGTTACGAGTTACGGCGGTGTTGCCTGCCGCTTCTCAGTCGCGCCTGCACGTCGCTCCTTCTGTGTACGGAGTACGTCGTTGTGCGACCTTCTTTCTCACCCCTCGCGTCGTCCGTCCCTTCCCAATTCGTGCATCGCGGGTTTTGGGTCCGTCCTTGCCCAGCCTTGGGCCGCACTTTGCATACCACTGGGCTTGCCAAGTACATCGTCGCTTCCTGTTAAGCACACCGCTCCTGTCGCTCTTTCCTACCCTGTCGTAAGCTCTTGCCGTCCTTGGTTTGAGCTTAGTCCATGTGACGAATGCATGTGTGATGCCTCCTTTTCTTTCTCCTTGTTTTTCTCCTCATTTTCCGAGTTCTTTTTTCCCCTCGTCCTCATCAACCTGGCCAGCCCTCCCCCATGCACCTTCGAGCTCATCACACACCAAAAGGCCTCCAGCGTCGCCCGAGCCCTTCAACCTGTTTCGACAGGGCTATCGAGTATTCGACCAGAAATCCTCCGTACGACAAGTTTGGGACACGCGGAGCAGGAATGCGCGGATGTGACTTTGCCTTGGACAGCAATGGAACCCTCGAGAGGCCGATACCTCTCACCTTTCCACTGCATCAGGGCTAACGGCTGGTACGCAGAAACGTTTGTTACGACGTTGGGGCCTCGAGCACACAGTGTCCCGCGCACAATGTCCCGGTCTGGTGGCCTCTCCTTGCATGTCTCTTGCCTTGAAAGTGATTGTCTCCGATGGGCTGACCTTTCTTGTTTCCGTTTTGTTGTGGCCCTACAGTTTTCAACCGGTGAGCGTCTCCCCTGCTCCTCTATTGGACCACCATTGGATCAACCCCCTTAGGCATATTGACCTTCAATCAAAAACACCACCCACGTGAAGCCCATGCAGCCCAACCAGGACGCACTCGACGACACCCTCTTTCGCAAGCTTGGTCGTCACTTCTTCTTGCTTTTCTCGCTTTTGCTGCCTTTAGGCTTATTGTTTCTCGTTTCTCGTTTCTCGTCTGAGCCGCGTGTCGTATTCTTCCTTGCCCTGTTTACCACGCGCCCCTCCGCATACGTCTCGGCATGTGCCCCTTTTCGGTCTGTTTGCAAAACTAGCTGGGGTGTCACTATGGGAAACCGAGAAATGCAGGTCTAGACCTCGACACTAAACCTTTTGAGAGGTTGTCTCAATGTCAACAGCTAGCCGCGCCGGGACCTGGATGGCCATTGGCCCAATACCGAACATTTTTGTATTGACAGTATCATGTCGCGGTCGGGCAAACGAGGCGAAGCGCAGTCTGATAGAAAGACGCAGATAAGACAAAATGCATCGTCTGGTGCGTGTGGCGTTGCCGGCCAGCTGTTGGGGTTTTACCAATTCGTCCTCACGAGCAGGGACTCGATAACATCAAATTACTACACTGCTACTACGCTCACAACACTGTCCCGGCTCATCTGCGCGAGTTCCCATTTACCCTTCCGGAAGGGCCACCCAAGAGAATGACAGTCCTGTTCATTGCCCCATACCAGAATGCCTACATGCACGTGCACTCTTGTACATGTACGCTCCTCCGAGCTGCCGTGTCGAAGGATTCGTGGTGCATGGGCGCGACCACCCCTTTCCCTGCCAGTTCCATCCTTGCGCCACGGCATCCGGAGCAAGTTGTGTCCTGTCCCGTTTTACGTTTTGCCCTACGGCTCGAAGCGGACTGGACGTGTCCATGTACGGCCTGGCCATGTGCCGAAACCCAGCAGGGCGTCCCATGTTCCAGAAACCTCGATATCATGCCAAGGTATTGCATTGTATGCACTGCATATTCATTTTTATTTGTGTTCTTTCTATGCCCTTGGTCCTTAATAACGGCTCCAGATTCGCTCGGATAGGACAGCCACGGAATATGCCATGGCCTTGTTACAGGATTGGAAGAAAAGAGTTGAAGTCAATACGACGAGCCTGCACTGCAAAAGACGAGGCCGTGCGTGGCTGTCTTCACTTTTCTTCCGGGTTACCATGTCATCAAACTCACCCCGCCTTTGCTCTTCAGCCTCTCCGTCACACGTCTAGACCCCTTGCCTGGGTGTCGACACCATCTCTTGACATGACCCAAGGCACTGAACAAGTCATCATATCGCCCCTCGCACAACCTCTGTCTCTCTCTCTCTCTCTCACGTTACCTGCAGAACTGATGTAGGTTATCCTGCCCAGCTTACGTTGATATGTTTTGTTCCCAACGCCGTCCTACCGTCCCACCTCCGCTCTCCCAAAATAGCTGCACATTACTTGCCCACAGCTCTAACCAACGTGTGGTCGATATATAACGGTCGCAACCTCGCCACAGAGAAACCGTACTCTTTGTTCTGGGAGGCCATTTTGCATTTGCTATTGGTGCCGCGTTCGTTTGACGCAAGCGCGTTGTTCTGCTGGGGTCTTGCGGCGTTTCTCTTCGTCTCTTCTTATTTGTAATTCGTTATTTTTTATACAGTCTCCTTTCCTCACCGTATCCGGTCGTTCAAGTCTCTTCCTTCTCGTTCATACTTATTTTCACAATTATGCTGTTCCTCATCTCTCGTTTTCCGTCTTGCATACACATCTCAAGAATCACTACGAGCTATTAATCAAATACGCCCCAAATCACCTTCTAGCTTATCCACAATGACTTCCGTCGACTCATCAGACATCCCACCCGGTTTTTTCTCCACCTTTTCCATCTCTGACCCACACAATCCGGCATCCGGGCACATCGTCAAGGCCCAAAAACGCAACCGGCGCGTCTTCGTCTGCATTCCCTGCCATCGCCGGAAGCTGAAATGTGACAAGCTGCTTCCGTGCTCTCGGTGTACGGCGGCCGAAATGGCAGACGAATGCTCGTACATGCCACCGCCATCGCATGCTGCGAGCCGCTCGAAAAGGGGACAAGATCGAAAGGTTGTCGATCGTCACAAAGTCCCCAAGGATATCACCGAGCCTACCAAGCTGCATGTAAAACGAGTGTCCAGTCCATCTCTCTCTGTGTCTTCGGTATCGTCGCACCTGTCATCTTTGACGCCTTGTCCTTCATCGTCTCCATCTCGGTCGCCTTCCCCGTTGCCTCCGAGCCCAACCAACCCAAAGCAAACGACAGCGTATACGGACTCAAACGGCGAGACATACGGACAGACAGATTTCAGGGTGATCCAAAGCAACAACAGCAGGGGTTCCAGGCCATTGAATGGCGTGTCACACTGGAGCCGAATTGCATGCGAGGTGAGGCAAACCGCCCAGCACATTGCCAGCTTTTGTCTTGTCGCCGTGGCAGCAAGGCTGTTCTCATCTAACACACTTAGTTCTCAGAGGCCCTCCCATATCTGTTTGGTACAGATTTACAGTGGCAACAGAGGTACTGCCAAATCAAGAGCCTCAAATACCTGTTTCCCTGTCTCGACGACAACGTCAATTTCCCTTTTAGCAACACAAGCCCGGCTATCAAGGGCCAGATTCTCGGCTCTCTGCCATCTGACGATGTTGTCGATACGCTCGTAAACAATTATCTCGGCTCATTCGGGGCCACTCATTGCCTTTTCCACCCGGCACAGCTGCGGTACGAGGTCCAGCAGTTTTACAATGCGCGCTCCGAGGTGTCCGACGAATGGCTTGCCCAGCTTTGCATGATTCTCGCACTCGGTGCCGAATCCTTGCCTGACTCTCTCTTCAGTGGCTCGGGCCAGTCTTCCACGGAATGGTCAAACATCTTTCTGAACGCAGCCCAGGCCTCATTTGGCCGCTCGTCCTATATGGTGGCGCCAACCCTCTGTACCGTTCGCACGCTCTGCATGATGCTTCTGGCTAAGTTGGTCGAAGCACAGGCCAGTGGTGGCAGCACCAGTGGAAACAATGGAGACATCGGGCGCGACAGTGCTACCAGAGAGAGTAGCGACGGCATACCGTCTTGCACGAACGGCTACTCGCCTCTTGTATCTCTCATGGCATTCACAATGAGCACAGCCAGATCTCTGCTTCTACACCGCTCAACGAAGACTGGGATACAAGCGTTTCGCAGGTCAGATCACCCAGACGCGGGCAAGCCTACAGCAGCAGACAGTGTCGAAGCAGAAACGAAGCGTCGGATATGGGTCACGGTCCAGCTTCTTGACCTCAAGACAGCTCTCCGAGCCGGTATGATCACAATGCAGAAACCGGGAGACTATGACACTGAACTGCTACGGCCTCTACCGATCTCAAACGTACCGTGCAGTAGAAGCGACTGCAGTGCTATCTACGAAGGGTCAAGTTGCACCCATATTGGTACGAAGGAAGGGTCTGGGTACTCGTATTTGAGATCAATTCCATCGAACGACTATGGCTTCCAAGCTACACACACAATGCCCACAAGCGCCAGAACCGACGGCTTTCATGGTGACCCCGATGGTCTCTACCAGCACAAACTAGCAGCCTTCATGCCGCTGCTTGTCGCAATGGTAAACTCAGCCAACTCACCCACCACGCCCAGCCCGGGATACTCTCGAATCAAATTATGGCATGCACGCACTCGCAAGCTTCTGGCCGAGGCCAAAGCGGCCCTTCTTCCTGGCCCAGCAGTAGGTCCGCATGCAATGGAAACCAGCGCCAGCGTTGGCTGGCAGCAGCTGGGCGTGGAGACGTTCGACCCAATCACTTCAGCCGGCCAAATGCAGCGAGCAAAAGTCCAATACCAGCATCTTGAGGCACTGGCCAATCGCGCCTTGCTTGCACTACACCACGGCTCGTTCTGTCAGTCCCTGGTACGACCGAATGAGAGGATTCCAAGTCGAGAATCGGCAGAGCTGTCCTCTCTGCATGAACTTTCGAAGGCTGCTGTTGTCGAAATCTCGGTTGCCTTGCTCAACACCCACGGAGTATGGGCTGCACCGATAACCGCGAATGCCAATCGCTGCCCGAGCACCTGCACAAATCTCACGACATCAGCAACAGCAACGGCCACAGTGGCAAGTGTGGATTCACCATACTTGTCCTTGTTGCACCTGCCAGCTGGCGGTGACCATATGATGGGACTAATCAAACCCACCGCCGCAGAGATAATGATTCAACAGCAGCAGCAGCAGCAGCAGCAACAACAACAACAACAACAACAACAACAACAACACCAACAACACCAACAGCAACAAGCAACAGCAACAGCAACAGCAACAGCAACAGCAACAGCAACAGCAACAGCAACAGCAACAGCAACAGCAACAGCAACAGCAACAGCAACAGCAAGAACAGCATCGCCTACTGCAGCAGCTGCCCATCCCACTTTCGGGACGATCCTCGCCAGCCATGTTCGGGTGTGGTAGCGACATAACGACTGTTGCTGGACTGCCAATATCCACGACAGCTGAAATGCCAACAGCAGCAGCGTGCAACACTGGGTGGCTGCTCGATCTCTGCCACGACGATTTTAGAGCGGCTTTGCTATACATGGTGCTCGTTCTGCGGGGTATCCATTGCCAGGGTCAGGGCCCTCTTCTTGGGAGCCCCCAAGAGGAAGCGTCAACCATGACCACGGTCCGCCACAGCTACGAGATCATGCGTGACCGGTCGTACCGGTCCGTCGCCCATTTTGAGGAGTTCCTGAACGTGGCCATCTTCTTTTCATGCTTCCGTGGCCTGCGGTCAGACGGCGACTTGCTCTCCCAGGTAGTCGATGCGACCAACGACGTCGAGCAGATCGTCGTGACCGGGCGCAGGTACCTGCTTTGGGCAGCCGACAGCGTCACAGGCCCCGACGAGGCATCGGCCTTGATGGGGTTCAATGGGCCATTGATGGCATATGGCGGACTGTAGACTGTTGTGCGGGATGCAAGTCGGCCGGCTCCACTCATAACACCCATTCTATGCCCTTTTCAGTCTACACCTCGCTCTTCGAGTCACCCCAGTGGTGCTGGAAGGCGTTGACACCGTCAACGATCATGGCCTGACGAGCCGTGCCAACATAGAGGTGGCTCGTCACCAGATGGACGCCGACGTGGTAGACGAGAGACAGGCCAAAGTAGCCACCGAACGCGAGCAGGATGGACAGTGGCGCGATGAGCGAAAACATGGTGAAGCCGGACGCAAAGGACTGGAAGGCAGAGCTCGCCGCGAGTCTGTCTGTCGTCAACCCCGCCTGCAGGGAGCTCAATACAATGGCAATGTAGGCCATGAGGGAGGCCAACCAGCGCACATTTCCCTGGAAGAAACGCGCAAAGCGGTCCAGCCGCCCAATCAGCACAGGCACCAGCCCGCCGCGCTTCAGCTGGCTGATCTCGCGCAGGCGGTGCAGCATCATCTCGCCGTACAAGAACCGCTGGTGGAAGCGATGGGCCACGACGTCGGGCGACGTGACGACCTGCCGCGTGAGGAGGCGCCAGCTGTGCCAGGTGACCTCGGCTGGCAACAGCCCGTGTTCCTGTGCAATGCGGAAGTCACTCTCGTGGGCAACGAGCGCGGCATACGAGTACAGGAAGCCGAGGGCACAGTCCCAGAGGTGGCGCTTCTCGCAGGTGGACGATGCTGAAGAGGAGGTAGAGGCAGCCGACGCAGAGGACGTGACTGTCTTTTCTGATTGCGCCCGTTGCTGCCGCTGTTGCTCTCGCTGTTGCTGTGACTGGGACTGTGGATGCGGCTGCATCTGTGACTGGGAGCGCAGACTGCCAGGGGGGGACGACTGTGCGCTGCCATTGCTGTTGCTGCCGCTTCGCCGGCTGATCCACGACCGCCGCCCGGACATGACGACAACCGTGTCGTCCCGCTTGCACTCGCACGCCAGCACCTGCTCCCAAAAGCGGGTGTCCAGCAGGAAACGCGGCAGCGGCTTGAGGTACAGCAGGTCTCGCTTGCCGCCACCGCCGCCGCGGCCGCCGTCGCTGCCCAGGCCCAGACCCAGGTGGCGGTCCATCCGCTCTGTCACGCAGATTGTGCGGCCCCGGTGGACACAGTCGTGCAGGGGCCGCGGCAGGGCGGGCGAGCCGAGCAGCCAGAACCAGTGGTGGCTGAACCCATCGAGGCGGCCGAGGCCGAGTTCGGTCACGAGGTAGGCGGCGGTCAAGGACGGGGTGGACAGCTGGGGAAGGCTCTCGTCGCGGTAGACGCCGGGCAGGTACGATTCGAGCGGCGGCGGCGGCGGTGGCGGCGATCGTGGGGACGCCTTGCGTGAGGGGAGCAACCCAGAGTTTGCATCTCCATCAGCGCTGGTCGGCCAGAGGATGTTGATAGAAAAGGGCGGTGTGGGTTGGAGGGAACTGTCGGAGCCGTTCATGACGATGTATTTTTGCTGGTGGTCCTCCAGCCGATGGTGTCGTGATGATTTGTTCTTTTGTGTGTGTTTTTTTTTGTTCTTTTTTGTCTTTCTTACTCTGCGTGTTAAGACGGTCAAACTCAGGTTTATTTGAATAGGTTCGGTTTTGGGTGCTGTACATTTGGTTTACCAACTTTTACGATGCTATGATATCTCTGTCTTGCTATATATACGGAACTATATACGGAACTTTGATTCTATTTTCATTTGCTCCCCGTGGTCAGAAAGCAAACAGGCGTGAGGCCAGTCTCAAAGGTGACCGTAGCGCGTGAGTGCGCCTTTGCAGCTATTTAAGCTCTTGTGAGGCTCAATGAGGCCGTTTGGGAGCCAGTCGTGTGGCTGCGCGCCAACATCAGGATGTCGATGTTGGGCCATGTGGTCCGTTTGAGACACGGAAGGAGGCAAATTGTGGAAGTGTAGACTGAAACAATCAGAACGGGACATGGCAGTTGCATGGTCAAAGCCAAAAGGTAAATCGGTGCAAATAGGTAAAAATAGGTAAAGTAGGTGTGGCACAAAGATTGGGCGACAAAAGAACTTGCTGCGGCAAGGCTACAAAGACAGCAGGCGGCCTCGTGATTCGATCGAGCAACGACAGGCACCCAACCGGCGATCGGCATTAAGACAAGCGACATCACCAGGAAATCACCAGGCGACAAGGCTGTGTCTGTGCCGGTTGGCCATAAATGGGGTCTCGTGCCCAAGCAGAAGCCATGAGGGTGGCGATATCGCAAATGGCGCCTGTTTCCAGTATGTCTTTATTTTCGACGCGTTGCGAATAAAATAAAATAATAGAAAACGAACCCAAATCGGCCTGGCCAATGGTTTCGTTTTTGTTACAGAGTTATTTTGTGATGGGCAGTCGTTTACCTTGCCTGCCATGCATCGACTGTTGATAACGCGTGTTCTCCAACGGGAGTCACATGAGAGCTGAATCATGAACTCAAAACCTCCAAGTCATGCGCCCGCATCCCCTCATCTGCATCTGAGACAGAAATACAATGGGCGCCACACATTCACAAACTACTCCAGAATGATCACTTTTAAGGCAGCCATCAGACCGATGAAAGTAGGCCGTGCATCTGCGTTTCTTCAAATTTCTACAAGGCTGTGTGTGGTTTTAAATATGCATATGCAGTTATCGTATATTTCTATGTTCTCCCGCTGATATTAAATTAAGTTGGATAATTTTAAAAGAATTAATAATAACAAAGGCATGTTTTCATTTATTTAAATATTTTCTACTTTTATCTTCACTGTTTGTTTCCTAACAGCCCTCCACCTGTGCTTACCTCCATCGATGTTGTAAGGTCTCAATACGTATGATATCTTCACCCCTTCGTACCACCAGCTGTGGTGATACATTTGGTTTTTGTTCACACGGCTGCAAAATTGTATGTGTGGATAACATTGCTTCCTTCGCGCCGCATCGATGATTATCACAACGCCGGAGACATAACAAAAGGCAGAGCGGCCGTGGCATTTTCAATTTCTCGCTGCCAATCGTCAACGGCAAAATTTACACGTCCAGTGTCCACACGAAGACAGAAAAACCTTTAACCTGCCATGCTGCAGATATTAAAGGGTCCGTTAAGAGAGGAATGAAGACGAAGTGAATAACGGTAGTGTGAAAAATGAGGGGACCACACCCCGCGTATGAGGCCTAGCGCCCTACCCGAGACAGCAATTCGACGGGCCAGACGCCACACCCGCGTCCAGCATATTTTGTACCGCCAACGAACATGCCAGACATGTGTCGACAATGTGAGCCTTTGAATGAAAGAGTTCCCGGTTCCACGGGCACAACACATCGCTTTTCCTTCGGATATCGTTTTGCGTATCAAAACCAGATCAATACGACTAAACTAATGCTATCTGGCATGCCGATGACTTGGAAGCACGTCGGCATGGACCCTGAGAGTGTCACTCTAGCTCAACGCTGGTATGTTGCTGGACCCTTTGCCATTTAACCATATTCTTCGTACGGAGTATGTGGGATGTAATACAGAATACGTGGATGGGATTGTCAGATGGGCAATGAGGAACTGCGGCCATTTCCCAATGACTGGAGTGTGGCCTGGCGAAAGTGTCTGACCTCTGTGTCCATATTTTGCATTCCACCACCTACCCAAACCCAGAGCGCAAGCTTTCGTGTTCTCCCTGATCGCCGCGGGACCGTAAGAGTCTTTTTTTTGGTCGTCTTGGGCACGGGCGGGTTCGTGATTTTCAATCAGGGAATATGACTCTGTAACAAAGAAAGTTATCGACAGTTTATTTTTGAAGCGGACAGCAAGATGGTACCAGGAGTAGTGAGATGAGTCTGTCTCAATGAGAGGACCTGGTATTGGACGTTGATGTAAATGGCACTACTAAACTGTGTAAAAATACTCTCTCTCTTTCTTTCATTCTTTTTTTAATTAATTAATTATTATTATTTTTGTTTGCACGGCTACGGCCTACAAATCGCCGTGCATGACAGATAATTTGACGGCGACAGTGGACTAAGAATAAGCGTAATATAGCTATTCTATGCAAACTGCAAGATACTGACAAGGACCTTTGTCCACGTAACATGACATTAAAGCCAAGGCCAGCACTTTTGTTGTACGACTTACGAAAGGGCCCATCAGGATGACAAAGAGCCGCCGGCAGCCACAGGGCGTTACGCTTGGTTTACATGAACATCTGCACATCATAAAGCACTGGACGAGAGTACTGGACGAGAGCTCGAGGTGGCTGGCCAGACCACATCGGCCCAGGGTCCCTCACAGACCACTTGCCACGGACCACGGACTCTTTTGTCAAGACATGGCCAACCCACAATGAACTGGACCCGCAAGCCCCCTGTACTCTGCAATACGATGTAATCAGTCTGTAGCCCACTTTGACCGCCACATCTGTCTCCTCTTACCGCCTCACACTGCCTCCACACGGAGTCGCAACTCCACCAACTTGAGAACTCGGTAAGAAAAGAGACAGCAAAAGGGACCACAGCCAGGGACACAAACTACGCAGCAGACCCAGAAATAAAGAAGAACAGGGAAAGGGGGCAAAGCGAACAAGTGGAAAAAAAAGGCAAAGACCGCTCCAGGCTGTACGGCGAGGGGATAGTGTCGTATCGCCAGCAGACCAGGGGACAGGGAGGTGCACAAGAACAAACAGGCCATGACACTGGGATGGAGAGGCAGCTTCCCTGTCTCCTCCGCATCGACTGCTGCGAGCACTTTAGAGATAGCGCACGAGGTTGGGCCGCCCTTACACAGTAGTGTCAGACCCTCTCACTCAACCATCTGAAGAGAGAGGAGGTCGTGGGGCAGAGAAGCGCTTTTCCGGTAATATATGTGGCGCTGAAGAAAGGGATGTTCGACAGCGTTGAGGGTGAGTCGACCGCCTCTTCTTTATCACCAGCAAGGGATACAGTGCATTCTGCAGATGCACGGCGTCGTGCATAAGCAGCATGCATGGAACTTTGTTTGCATAGGCCGGATGCGCCGGCAATTGTGCTGGAGAATATCTTGTGCACATGTACGAATGTACTGTGTAATCAAGAAAAGAGGCTTGTTCCTGGGCTAGTAACAAATGGGGGATGACGATGTCGACCATTTTGCATGCACGATGTTGATCGCATTTCAAGTCGAAGTGGCTGCCAATGGCTGCGAGCATCGCAACTTCCACCAGCGGCTCTTTTGCTTGCTGCAGTGCAATTTCCCGTGTGCTCTCGCAGCTCCCAAAAGGGAAAGGGTGAACTGCCAAATTAAGAAAGTCGCGAAATGAGACCTCCGACAGTCCCCACTGGCAAAGTAGTTTGCCCATACAACAACGCGGTGACAGGTACAAAAGTGCTTTGTGCAGCCAACGGTGCGGCGCTAAGATACGAGCAGGGATGGAAGGCGCGACAGGGACTGTCCCTGGCCATTCTCCACGCCGCCAGCGCGTGCTGATTGGGCAGGAGCTACTGGACCGTCAGGAACGGTCAGGAACGGTCAGGAACCAAGGCAGGAACCAAGCAGGAAACACGACCTGCTCCTGCTTTCTTCGGTCGCTGTTCTTTCCATTCGAGGCTTCCTGCGCGTCCGAGGAAGTTGCGAGCGTGAGCTTCACAACGTGCACCTCGTCGAGTAGCGCCAGGGGCAACCATCCACTTGTCCTCTTCTTCCACTTTTGCCGCTTGCCCACATCTCCTCGTCGCTCCAACGGCCCTCCAAACTATCGCCAGCTTGCCGGTCGACTCGTCAACATCCTCGACCTCTCTTTTGGGGGGTCATTTATTTGCTTATTCGTCTCCCAACGGGCCGTCCGAACCCCTGTGCATGCAGGCATATGCACCAGCAAGAATAGACCGAAAATAGAGCAGCAAACAGGATTTGCCACAGCAGATGAAAATGCAAAATGTCCAAAGAGAGACCGCGATGCTCCACAACTGCACGGCAAACAAACAAAATACAGACCCAGAAGTACTTTCGTCTGGTCTTTTGAGGTCTGTTTTCATACAATAGTGCTGCCGCGCGCGATTCGCACGGTTCATGACGCGTCGCCCAATGGAATCCTCGAGGCTTCTTAGCTTTGTCGAGCAGCTTTGTCGACGACGTCTGTATTTTGTATTTTGTCAATGCGAACGGTTGTCTTTGTTGTCGTCGCATGTTCTGTATCTTTTTTGTGCTGCTCGATTTCTCGACTTTGTCCATGTCGACTCTTTTTTCTCCCTTTTTCCTCTCCCTGTTGCCTCCTCCCTCGTTTCTTTTCGCCTATCCGTTCCATGTGGCTCCTCCTTTCGCACTATCCCACGCTGCTCATCTGCTCATCTGCTCATCTGCTCATCGGCTCATGTCGAATCATTCTCAACTCGGCCAGGCCCAATTTCCCCAAATTGATTGGCAGCGCTTTTCCCCTTTTCTGTCCATGCAATCTCTCTCAGCTCCCTTTCACGAGCTGCCTTTCGTGATCGCTTCCTGGTTGCTTCC